TAATAATAATAATAACAAAATCTAGTGTAGTCCAACAGTTGGTTGCATCAGTAATTGTTTTTATCCAAGTATTATTAAACTGATTAAGCTACAATGTCCTTTGCGACTATTTTCCACTAGTTGTGTCAAAAGATTGTAGCGCTTTTTAATGATTACAAAATCCAAATCATGAATAAATGCATTTTTTAACCCCAGTTTTCACCCCAAATTAATTCAAATAAAAAATGAGTAATTATTATTCTGATTTATTTAAACCTTTATTTTACCAGAAAATTATCTTAAAATTTGTAATCTCTTTTTTTTTGTTCTGGGCAAACAAACAATAAATATCATAGACAGAATATCAGAATAAACCAACACAAAATACAATTGTATTCGTAAAACATATAGTTAATATAATTGTACCACGCTACACTACAACTAAACTTAGAATACCAGTGTCTTATTCTCATTAAATCTGAATTGATTGGAAAACAATGCAGTTAACGTACTAAAATTGCAGAATATTGTTGGTTTTTACAAATAACGAATTTACGAATAAAAGTCTTCTTTTTAAATGTTGATTTTAAAATATTTTGGCACAATTTAATTGGTCGCTTTTCATCACAGATAAACTTCAAATTGTTTCTGAAAATGTTTTCTGCTCACCAATTCTGTTTGATTTTTATTTTATTTGTTTTGCAAGTTTTAAAATATAGACAAATGTACAACGAATTTAGTTACTATTCATTACAGATAAACTTGCAATTATTTCTGAAAAGCATTTCTGCTCACAGAGTCTGTTTGATTATTTATTTTTTTGCAAGTTTTAAAATATAGACAAGTGTACAACAAACTGAGTTGCTTTTCATCACAGATAAACTTAAAATTGTTTCTGAAAGTCTGTTTGATTAAAAACTTAGACTTATTTGTACTGCAAAAAAAGTTGCATTTCATTACAGATAAACTAAATATTGTTTCTGAAAGTCTTTTCTGCTCACCAAGTCTGTTTGATGAAAATATAGTAAGTAAATCAGTAATGTCATGAATTTATTTAGCAAGATTTAAAATATAGACTGATGTGTACAACAACATTAGCTGCTTTTTTTATTACAGATAAACCTAAAATGATTTCTAAAAGTCTCTTTGAAAAAACTAAAGTAAGAAAATGAGCAATATTATGAACTTTTTGTATTAAGTTTTAAAATATGGGCTTATTTGTACAGCAAAATTGATTGCTTTTCATCACAGATATACTTTAAATTGTTTCTGAAAGTCTGTTTGATTAAAAACAATAGTAATAAAATATCATGGATTTATTTTACATTTTAAATTAATGACTTATTTGAACAGCAAACTAAGTTGCTTTTCATCACAGATAAACTAAATATTGTTACTGAAAGTCTTTTCTGCTAACCAAGTCTGTTTGATAATAATATAGTAAGTAAATCAGTAATATTATGAATTTATTTAGCAAGATTTGAATAATAGATGTCTGTGTACAACAACATTAGCTGCTTTTTTATCACTGATAAACTTCAAATTGTTTCTGAAAGTCTCTTTGAAAAAACTAAAGAAAGAAAGAGTAAAGAGTAATATTGTGGATCTGTTGTATTCAGTTTTACAATATGGGCTTATCTGTACAGCAAAATTAGTTGCTTTTCTTCACAGATAAACTAAATATTGTTTCTGAAAGTCTTTTCTGCTCACCAAGTCTGTTTAATAAAAATATAGTAAATCAGTAATATTATGGATTTATTTTGCATGGTTTAATGTATAGACTTCTGTTTAAAACAACATTAGCTGCATTTTTTATCACTGATAAACTTAAAATTATTTCTGACAGTCTCTTTGAAAAACTAAAGAAAGGAAATAAGTAGTATTGTGGATTTTTTTGTATTATGTTTTAAAATAATGACTTATTTGGACAGCACAATTAGTTGCTTTTCATCACAAATAAACTAAATATTGTTTCTGAAGGTCAATTCTGCTCACCAGGTCTGTTTGATAAAAATATAGTAAGTAAATCAGTAATATTATGGATTTATTTTGCAAGTTTTAAAATATAGACAAAATTAAAACGTATATAGGTGCCTTTATACTTAAAATTGTTGAGTGTGGTGAAAAAAAGAAAGAAGATTTGTAATATTATGGGTTGTTTTTCAAGATTTTTCTTCCTTTGTCACGTTTCTTTACAGAGAGATGCCAGTCCTTACGTTATGATAATGCATTTTTTAAAATCTTTTTAAAACGTGTCTTGAATATTTATTTATTTTCGTCTGCCTTTAATTATTTACTTTTTGATTAGATTAGATTCAACTTCATTTTCATATATTTTCAATATACTTTGGTATAAGTTATACGTGCACTATGGGTAATATTTACAGATGGATGAACCATGAACATAATATGCAGGTTGTTTTAACCGTAATCAGGGATTTACAAATAGATGAGCATAACTTACAGGTTGCTAGTAATATGCAATTAGATATGAACATAATATACAGGTTATTTACTAATAACACAATACAAGTAGATATATACGTTTGCTAATGGGTAAGTGCAATGATTGTGTGCGCTAATAAGTGTGCAATATTAGTAATGGTTATACTTTATCTGTCAGTCTTTACAGTTTAGAAGTTGTGTTGTGTGCAGATGTAATTGATTTGTGGTGTGTTTTTCAGGGCCCGACGCAGTGGCATGTGCAGATCATCATGGAGAAACTGCTGAGGACCATCAACAGGACAGTGATCTCCATGGGCAGAGACTCTTCTCTCATAGTAAGAGCTGTTTTCCTTCGTCACAGGCTTGTTTTCGGGATGTGCTGAGTTTTTGGGTTTGCTGTGTCTGCGGTTAGAAATGGTGTGTCTGCAATCCTCAAACCACAACACACACACACACATACTCACATGGTCACAGTCAGGCTTTGTTCAGACAGGCAGCATAAATCCTATTTTTTTTGGCGTATCAGACTCAAATCCTTTTAGTTTTTGTGATCTGGACAGAACAGAACATGGTAAAGCTGAAATGCATCTTTTCTGTGCTGTTAGAGCCACCGCATCACACTGGTGCAATAATGGCTGCTTTCAAACAGGTTTCACAAACTCTCTCAGTGGTCAGTGAACTAAGGTTGTGCTCACACTATGCTATACGAACCATGCCTGGGGACATTCTCTGGTTTATTTGACAAGTGTGAGTGCCCCGTGCCCAGATGTGGTTCAGTTGGCCGGCCATGGCCCTGTTAGAAGAGGTGTGTTAGAGCTCGGTTCAATTGGGCTTTGGCACAGTGCGCTTGTAGTCTGAGCCCGAAACTGGACACAATGTCACTTTTAGGGCACTGTTTCATATGGATTTATTATTCATTCTTACTGTTCAATGAACACAAACCAAATCATAGTTTATTTAAGATGTGAACAAACTCCGCCTTCAGCTACATGCATACTTCTATTTTATATTAGGTACATGTTTGTGCGTGCACATGTTTGTGTGTGTGTGTGTGTGTGTGTGTGTGTGTGTGTGTGTGTGTGTGTGTGTGTGTGTAGTCTGAACTGAAAAAAAAAAACAAACATTTTAAAGCTGAAAAGAACAGTCCCATTGGTCCGTTAACTGAAAGCCCCGCCCCCAACCTCACATCACTTATTGTGAACAAACTCCGCCTCCAACTACATGCACACTCCCATATAATGTTAGGTGCGCCTGTTTGTGTGTGCATGTGTTTGTGTGTGCATGCATCTGTGTGAGTGTCTAGTCTGGACAGAAAAATAAGATGTTAAAACTGAAAAGAACACTCCCATTGGTCTATGTACTGATAGTCCCGCCCCCAACCTCACATCACTGATTGTGGAAAGACTCCACCTGCAACTTCATGCATATTCCCATATTATATTTGGTGAGTGTGCTTGTGTGTGTTTTTGTGTGCGTGTGTTTGCATGAATGTGTTTTGTGTGCGTGCTGTTGTGTACACCTGTGTGTCTGTGTAGTCTGGGCAGAAAAATAGCATGTTAAAGCTGAAAAGAGGTTTCTTGGACACCAAATAGGTTTATTGAACACGCGGTGAACTGATCGTCCTGGCCCCAATCTCACATCACCCATTGTGAACAAACTCCGCCTTCAGCTACATGCATACTCCTATATTATATTAGGTACATGTTTGTGCGTGCACATGTTTGTGTGTGTGTGTGTGTGTGTGTAGTCTGAACAGAAAAACAAAACATTTTAAAGCTGAAAAGAACAGTCCCATTGGTCCGTTAACTGAAAGCCCCGCCCCCAACCTCACATCACTTATTGTGAACAAACTCCGCCTCCAACTACATGCAAACTCCCATATAATGTTAGGTGCACGTGTTTGTGTGTGCATGTATTTGTGTGTGTGTATGCATCTGTGTGAGTGTCTAGTCTGGACAGAAATATAACATGATAAAGCTGAAAAGATCTTGCCCCCCCAAACTGAGAACTGATAGTCCCACCCCAATCTTGCATCGCTGATAGTGAACAAACTCCACCTCCAAGTACATGCACACTCCCATATTATATCAGGTGTGCGTGCTTGTGCGCGCGCCTATTTGTGTGTGCGCGCATGCTTGGTGTGTAGTCTGGACTGAAAAATAACATTTTAAATCTGAAAAGAACACTCCCATTGGTCAGTGACCTGATAGTCCCGCCCACAATCTCACTCCACTGATTCTGAACAGTCCGCCTTCAACTGCATGTACATTCCCATCTTATAATAGATGTGTGTATGTGTGTAAACACACAGAGCTGCTGTTTGTGTGTGTGTGTGTGCATGATGTGATTTGGCTGTAGATCCAGATGGTGTGAGCGTCTGTCACGCTGTTCCTGCAGCTCCTGTGACTGCTGCACTGCGTGTTAGCCTGCAGCAGCACCACTGGTCAGTCTGAGCTGAGATCTGCTGCTTCAGCGCGAGTTGGTTTGGTTGAAGAGCTTCAGGCTGTTGAATGTGCTGATAGTGGACGTCCTTGACTTTTACAGCCTCGTCTGTCCATATGAATGCTAAACGCCTCCCTTCATCGCCCTCTCTCCTGCATGAGTGTGTGTGTGTTTAAAGCAGAGCAGCAGCAGCAGGTTTCATCTCATTCTCAGTTTATTCTAAACTTTTAATTTTTGAAGCACAAATGATTAAGTTCTTGATGCAATTATGGTTCATGGAGACTTTAGGAAGTCTTTCAGTGCTAAAAAGATAAAAAAAAACACCAAAGACTGATCATTAATTAGTAGAGGTGAACTAATATCATTTTTTTTGACTACAGAATTGTTATTTTATATCAGGGGTGTCAAGCTCAATTCCTGCAGGATCGCAGCCCTGCAGAGTTTAGTTCCAGCCTTGCTTCAATGGTAATATCTGTACTAGAGTTGGGCAATGTCGACCAATTTGCCACCGTACAGTGTCTAATGTGAAACATCGCGATGGAAGATGCCATCATCATCATGTGAAAAGGGGGTTTGGGGGGTGGGTGTTTGATAGAGTGCGCATGATGTGTCTGAAGAGCGAGGAGGGATCCGGGGGTGAAAAGAGTGCTCGACTTGATTCGAGGGTTGACTTGACTCGATTTGAGGAGACGAGAGATTATCACTCTTTTGTTGACATTATGCATAGAGACTCCCGGAGCGTCCAGGAGACTTGGGATGTCTAAATATCCCGTTTAACAACTAAAGTGAGACGCGATACAGCGGTACATCCTTGATAAACTGGCCGACGTGCACTTCTCTCTAGAGCTCAGAGCGCATGACAGTGTGCGGCTGTGTGTGTGTGCGGTCACGTGATGTGCGTTTTCAGTGGACGGAGGACTGTTCAGAAATATATATATATGTGTGTGTGTGTGTGTGTGTATAT